AACTCGCCATTTCCTAGACTCTCTTGTACATTAGCTCATCTCACCTCTCCCATCAAGTGTCCATCCTTGTATTCAACTCTACTGGGCTTCCATTTTCCTCATCATCTTGCTCATCTTTAACATTCCCATCAAATGTCTGCAAATGTCTTTACTTTTATTCCGTTTCCATGAGAAAACTGTTCACCTAAAGAAATGTAAACAGAAATCATTTTTTTTCTTCTTCTTCTCTTTTCACCATTTTCTGTGACTTTTTCATTAACCAGAATTGATTGAAACTTTCATTAAAGGAAAATCCAAAAATGAAATATTTCCAAATCAATGAGACTCGCTAATGAACCATTAAAATGCCAACCTTTCAATGGATTCAATGTTTAGTTGCAATATTTGACTAGAGAAGGAAAATATCGCAACTTTACTGGGAATGATAAATGTTTGAAATATTATGATAAGAATTTTAATTGAAAGCAATTCTTTGCAATTTAATGTTTTCCAAGAATGGTAAAGATTCAATAATTTTCATTTTCCAAATTCATTGCCATTAAAATGGAAAAAATGATTTTCCTTTTTTCCCTGTGAATAACATTTTCTCTGCCAACAGAATGCTAAAATGGAAACAGAAAAGGAAATTTATTGAAAAGTTGATCAAAAAAGGTTGAAAAATGTTTACCAATTGCAACATTTAAATGAACATAATGATGATGATAAAGATAATAATAGTTGCATCAATAATAAATGCACAAGTTCGTGTAATATTATAATTATAAAAGATTTGATCGTTATTTCACTTTCAATATTACCATTATATTGTGATAGATGAAAATATGATAATTTTAATTGTACAAATGGGTAAAAATGGTGAAAGGAAAAAACGCTTTTTTCAAATTTTCCCTTTCTTTCAACCTTTTGTTTTTGTAACCCAACAGTGAAAAACAGATTTACAACTTCATTTCATTTCAATTGAATAAATTAAAGTTTGACTTTACAATGCTTCTGCTTTTACAATCTGATTGCACATTAAACTAAGCAATCATTTAATGGTCATTTAAAATTGAATTAATATGTTAATGATGAGACTTTTTTTGGTACACTTGGAATCAATTACAATTAGCTGTTGTTGGTATATTAATGAATGTCAAATTGGTAGGAATTATGAGGTTGAAAAGTTAATTATTGTTTTACATTCAATTTTTCGGAAAAAAGTTGCAGAAAAAAACTTCAATATTTTTGAAAACTCTTTTTCAATTGAAACATCGTTAGCTGAAGAGTAAACATAAATGCAATTTTTCAAGAAAACTAATATTCTTAGCATTGGAAAATAGTATACACGCCCCGATGATACCGCTATACTGATACATTTTTTGGATAGAGCGTTGTCGAATATATGATAAATATTCAAAATACTTTGTCACTCAAATCATTTAAGTGGCCAAAAGGCTAAAAACCCGCAAAAGATATCGAGCGTTATCAAAAAAGTCATAGACGCCCCGATGATACAAATATTCTGATATATTTTTTAGGTATAATATAGTCGAAAGTATTCAAAAAAGTCAAAATACTTTGTCACTCAAAACTGGTTCAGGCCATTTTCAACATTTCGCGATTTTTTACCTGATAACGCAAAAACTATACATCATATCGAAAAATGGAATTAATTTTTGGAATCAGCATAAAATTTTACATCTTAGACGCGGATTTAAAAAAATCTATTTCTTAGGCAGTTTTCCCTATTCTTTTGGTCCTCGTCCTTTGTCAGAAATTGAAATTGAATTTTACGTTGCTTCACAGCTTTAGTAGACACTAGTTTGAGAAAATAGAAAGGACTCGTTCTAAGGAAAAGTGCTCGAGGAATGAAATCAGTTTTCAAAGACATTCGAGATAATTACAAAAGTAAGAAAGGGTAAATGCGTTTGATGGCTTAGGTAGAGATTAACCCGCATCATTTAGTCTGATATTTTCTTATTATATCAGTCCTAGATTCAACATTGAATTGTTATCAATATTGCTAATATTGTGATTTTCATCGATAAGTTGCTTTGTCACAAAGTTAGAAAAATGGAAGTACGAAACGTTCAGCAGTGATTGAATTTCACCTCGGAGATGGCAGAACCCCAAGTTCGAGCCTTAATTAAATGTTTTGCCTTTAACTAGCATTTGAAGATGATTTTCCAAAAGCACCAACTTTCAGGAAATGAGCTTCAAATGTCAGTAAGAGTTCAATTATCCGAGCGACCTTAAATGAACTTGAATTTAAACTAATGCTCTGCAATTTATAACTAAACTGTTACCCATTCTCCTAATGAGTCCATTTTATCTGAATGAAGATAAGATAATTTCATAACTGATTTCACTTCTTGAAAATCAGTTTTAGCTTCAAAAGCTTGTCAGCTTGCACCTGGTCGATGCATGAAACAAAGATGGGAAAAGATCAAAATGGAAAGAGGAAAGCATCCAAAAGAAAAAGCAAAATGATAAAACCAAATAAGCTGAAGTTCACAATAAACACAAGAAACTGTATTAATAATGTGATGTTTAATGGTTGGTTATGTGAGGTTAGGCTGAATTAAATCCTTTTTGCTTGTAAAACAAGGATTAACAAGTCTTGTTTGCCTTCATTTCCAATGATTGACAAAAGAGCAAAGAGCGTCGAAATGCCTGCGAACCTGCAAACGCCATTCAAAGTACAACTCGTAAAATGAAATGTAAACACAGCTCTGTCCATTATTGACTGACCAATAAGTAAAACTTGTTCTCATCATAAACTTGACCAGAACAAAAAAAAGGTTTGATTCTCTTCTTCTTTTTTCTTCATCACAATCATTACCATTACCAAGTTGATCATCATAAACTGAACATTTGCAATCACTTAACAATACTTGAAACCTGAATTTAGGCGATAGCAAAAAAATATCGACTTCATTTTGCTCTTTTTTATGCTCTTTTTTTATAGCCCAAGGAGATGGATGATGAGAAGTAAATACTTTTGCTTAATATTATTACTTGTTTTTCCTGAACACAACTGATGTAAGGTACAAACCTAATAATGGCCCGTTTCAAGTCATCACACAATCAATGAAAGATAACTATTTGTTTGAATAAACTGCATTCCTTTCAATTCCTCCATCAGGTTCATCATGTTGATCAAAATTTCACTCTTTACCTTTCGCCTTTTTTATATCAATGAACATCATCATTAGATATTTCTCCTTGTTTTACTTTTCTTCCAAATACAAACAATTTTCTTCTTTTCGTCATTTCCATCCTCAGGAAGAAGGAGATTGAATAGCTTAATTCACATTCATGATGCGTTTGTTGACTTTCATTCCTCTCTCTTTCATCATTTCAATCATCTTCTCATTGTTTCATTCTGACAGAGTCAAGAGAACAGAGAAAAACTGAAAACCAAACAAATGTAAGTTACCAATTATCATGGAAAAGGTTTGTCTGGCTGCAAATTTCAAGTCAAATTGAGATGGAAAATCCTTTATTCATTCAATGTTCAGTTTCAAATTTATTCAACACTTCATCATTGGAATGCAAGGTTTTTTGTCAAGAAAATTGCAAAATAAATGAAACATTGAAATGCAAAATGCTTGAAACATTGCTTTTGATATTCTAATTATTACACATTTTGTCTACTTCATTGACTTATCAAATACACTTGGATTCAAGTAAAGACATGAAATTTTGCCAAATTTAAATAATAACTTTTAAAGTCAGTCAACAATGAAATTAGTTATTCACGGTTAAACAAATTTGAACACATTCACATTTAGAGATGAAAAAGAGACAATAATTAAGTTTTCATTTGCATCTTTCACCTTTAACTTGGTTATCATTTTGTACCACATTATGTGACCAGGTTGGGATACAAAGACCATTTACCTGTGATGCCTCTTCGTGATGTAAACTCATTATTCATTGGGAAAACGATAAAACAACAAGCAAGACAAAAGGCGCTTTTTCCACTTTTACATTTTCCAAATTGATTCAAATTTATGACCATTTCTGGTGATAAACTTGATGATCTTAATGACCTTATTTTACAGTTTATCACGCCAAGGTTTGACCCACATTGTGACTCTTGACCATTTTCATTGCTTTTCAAATTTTCCATTTTTTCCAACAAAAAATTTCTTTTCAATTTTTTCTTTCAAATGTTTCCCTTTTTCGGTCACTTTTTTGCCCCTCTGGTCAACTTGGGCTTACTCTTTGCATAACCAAATTAAAGTCTAAATAATCATTTTCGATGTTGGAATTCCTTGGATAATTCTGACTGGCAATGATTAAGAGTAAATATTTACTCAGACAATGGTTAGACTTTTCATCAATTCATTCAACCTCACTTATCCATATTAAGCTTGATAATTCTCATGCTTTTTCCTTCCCTTCAGAATGTACTTTTTTTTGTCTTTCATAAGTTTCTTTGGGTAATATTTATAGAGGAAAAGATTGACAAAAATCTGAATCTCATCATTCAACCAACTATGCATGGTGAAGATAGTAGATTCTTGATTGTTATTCACGTCATTTTTTTCATCCAATTGGTTAAGTAAATTATGTTGATAAAGACAAAAAACAGATTTCACCTTCTTTTTGTTTTACCAGCCGCAAGGCTTGTATTTTCACAGCATATAAACAGAGCACAAATAATCAAATAACTTTCCTTTGAAGGGTGAATAACAAGTCAACTGTAATCTTGGCGACATGATTAGAATAGAACTTGAAATTATCGGAAATTTGGACAACATTTCATTCACCAAGTTTAGGTAAATCTGGCTTCACATTCAACATTTGTTTATAACATTTCAATGATTCCATTCTCAATGTAACAAATCCTCTAAAGAAACGTAATTTAAAATATTGCCATCAAGTGTCATCAATAACCATCAACAATTAAATTCAACTGTAAATTTAAAATCAAATCAAAGACCAATTGAAATTGATTATTGATTTGTTTTTGTTTTTGAAAGGCATTGAAAGGTCGACTGCAGAGACATCTATTGATGGAAAATGGTTCCATTTTAATTTCCATTTGACAAGATTGACAAATTAAATTGAATCATTCGGATGTTCGTTATCGATTAATGGCATCAAACAGTTGTGTCACTCAGGTTTAAAGTATTTGATCAGTTTGACTGAACTTAGAATTGGTCAAAATTTTCTTGAGTTTTCCTTCTTTAAACGTAAAACCAATTTGTTTTGTTTTTGATATTTTTTTTCAGGCAACATCACAAATAATTTAGTTTACTTGATTTTTGCCTCGCTTTCTTAGGTGTGTTTGCCATCAATCGAGGGTTTAGTTTTTAGTCCAAATATTGATGTCTTTTTTTATCCCAACAGCAGAAACAACATCAAGAAATAAAACTATTTTTCCTTCCTCTTTGCTCACTTTTATTTTGCCTTTTTTTCAGGTTTCAACCTCATTCCTTTGGCTCTTCATCTTGTAAGAAACTTACATTTCCAGAATCAGATTTTTTTTTGCTCAGAGTCCATTTACAACTTTTGTCTTGTTTCTTTCTGATGATTACGTTTCTCCTTCTTTAGTCCATTATATTCTCAAAATGGGAATCTACAGAAAAAATCATAAAAGTCCTTTAGTCAATCCTATTTATCATCCCAGTCAATCTTGTCAGCAATGGTCAAAAATTTCATATTACAACCATTTTTTTCTGACACTAACATTTGTCATTACATATCTCAATTGCAGAGACTTGATTTTGGGCTTAAAATAAAAGTCAACAGACTCATCTTATCAGAAAAAACAATAGATTTTTGAATAAAAATTAGTAAATCATTGTTTAGTCAACAATCCATACATTACCAAATGTCACCATTCAATGGCAATTACATTAAAATTACATTAAGACTGAATAATGTTCAAGCCAAAGACAAAATTATGTTTAAAAATGAGAAAATCTCAAGTTGTGATTCTGAACATTGTGCCTTTTTCAGTCCATTATTATAATATTGTAAATGAGATTTGTGACTTTTAAGTGTTTGAAACCAAGTTGAAAAGATCAGGAAAGACCCTTTCAGTAAAGATCCATGATGCAGTTAAAACGTTTGAAATTTCAGATATTAAACAATCATCTTCAATGGAAGTCTTGTAGCGAGTTGAGCGAGAGGATAGATTAAGACAGTTGATTAACATTTAAAGATTTAGGAAGCTGACTTTGATATAGAATCTGGTTGAAACCCAAATGAAAAGACCTGTAAAACTTGGAAATATCTCTAAATAAGTCTTTTAAATCGTCTATTTAATAGGTATACTTACAAATGAAAAAGTACAGGAGTATAAATAAAATTTGATTAAGCCTAAAAAATGTCTAAATCATTTATCTTTATCTTTATCTTTATCTTTGTCTTTATCCTGTAAAATATCAGGTGTATCAGGTGGATCCGTTTTAGGCTTTGCAAGATGGGTGAAGACGACCTCATCACCTCTTAGTCTAGCTTTATGAAATTCTTCGGCTGCCTGTTTCAATTTTCGTGCCATTGCTTTCCCGGTTTGGGCAACCAATTTTGAAAACAATGTTTGCTTTTTTTGAAGCAAATTATGAGGTGAATCAAATTCGGCCACTTTTCCATCATCCAATACCTGAAAGAAATGATGATTAGTTGAGATTCATTTTCGTTTCATTTTCACTTCTTACCAAAACACGGTCAGAGTCGATGATTGTATTTAGACGATGGGCAATAGTCAGTGTTGTACATTTGGCAAATTTGTTTCTGATTGTCTGTTGAATTACCAAGTCTGTTGAATAGTCAACATTAGCAGTTGCCTCGTCAATAACGAGAATCTTGTTGTCTCTGAGAAGTGCTCGCGCAAGGCAAACTAATTGTCGTTGTCCGACAGAAAAATTACTTCCACCTTCTCTAAGTTCATAATCCAGTTTACCTTGAAACTCGTCAACAGTTTTCTCCAATTGAACATTGGCTAGAGCTTCCCAAAGAGCGAAATCATCATGTTCCTTGAATGGGTCTAAATTATGTCTAATTGTTCCAGCAAATAGTACAGCTTCTTGAGGAATGATTGAAATCTTTCTACGAAGAGTATCCAACCCTAAAGTCATGATATCAAGACCATCTATAATTATCGTTCCTTCTTTTGGCTCAACAATTCTGAATAAACAAGTCAACAGGGAACTCTTTCCAGCACCAGTTCTACCAACAACACCGACCTTTTCTTTGGCATTAATAGTTATACTAATATCTGATAGTGTGGGTTTTGGAGCTGATGGATATTGAAGAGTAAGATTTTTAAATTCAATTTGACCATCGAAAGGCCAATTGTCTGGTGGAGTTACATCAGTTACAGCATCAGCTTCCGTATCCAATTCAGTATACTCAATGATTCTTTCTACTGAAGTCATTTGACTTTCAAACTCGGCTGATTGACGAACTGACCATTGGAAAAGTCCAATGAGAATAACAACGGATGAAAGCGCCACACCAATTTCCCCAGGTGCAGAGTCTAGATGAAAATTATGAAGAAAAAGAGTTTATTTATCTAGAAAAGTCAGGAAAATTTGTGCTTACCTTGGTTGTAAGCAACAATAGCTGATGTCACAACTATAATGTACAAAAGACAAAAGGAATCAGTAAACACTCCCAAAGCTCTGGACAAACAAATAAAGGTGAACCAAGTTCCTGAATGGTCATTTAAATGGGCTTCAAATCTTCGGCGAAACAAGTGCTCAGCTTTGTGAGAACGAATCGTTACAATACCATCAACAACAGATTGAATGAGAGAGTAAATTGGACTTCGGGCTGCAACGATCAAAATAAAAAATACAATTAAAATAGCAAAATTAGCCTAAATCAGATGCATCTAAAGAAAAGATTTAATAAAATAATTACCTGTGGATTCGATTCTCTTAATAGCTCTTCCCGAGTGAAGGTAAAATTTCCTCAATGATAATACTCCAATAATGAGAAAAATGGCCGGAATAATTAATATTGGAGAGACATAAGCGATAGTAAATAGACATCCCAGAGCAGTAAACGAATTCTGATTTTCAATCAAGAGAAACAATTACAAATAGCTCGAGAATATAAATAGAGAAATGCAACACTTACCACAATAAGATCAAATGCCGTTGATGGAAGTAGCTCATCAATTATTGACAAATCTCTAGAAAATCTATTCAAGATTCTACCTAAAATGGAAATAAGAAAATAGATTAAATTAGAGACAAAATCAAAAATCAAATTAATATAATCAAACCTATTGGATTAGTTTCAAATAATGACATAGGTGAACGCAAGATTCGATGAAAGATTTCATTATGCAAGTTGATTGATGCATTATTACAAATACGAATAAGTAAAGTTGATCTTAAAACTGTTGTCACAAACAGGCCAGCAATAAGCGCAGAATAAATTCCTATATTAGTTTCTATTGGCTCATTTGTTCGATAATAACCTGCATAATCAAAGTCAACAATCGGTAAGCTATAAAAGGAATAAGGGACATAAGACCAGAGAGATTCCATCATGATGTTGTTTCTATATGTCATTTCTCGTGAGCCTGAAGCTTGATCAGTCCATTTAGAGAGAAAAAGATCATTCGACGTGAAAAATATTTGCGATGCTATATTTGCCAAAAGCGTAAGAGTCCCAAGGATAACACCGGCTCCTGCTTTGAGATAAACCCAATAAACTTTACACTTGACAGTACCGCGAGTATATTGTTCAACAGCAGGACTAGGTAAAATGTCTACCGGCACTACATCAACAATGGTCATTGGTATTGAACTTATTGAAATTTGCGATGAACCTGATGAAGCTCTGCTCTTAATTGATACAATTGAAGACTTTTTTCCCTTATTTTTAGATTTTGCTTGTTTTTCCAATTGCTTTTTGGCTCGCTTAGCTTTTCGCAATTTACTTTTTGCTGTTTCATGGGACAGTTCACTAACTAAGTCAACATTGGCCTCTTGAAGGTCAGTGAGTGAATTAAATACTGACCCTTTACCGTCTTTCATGAGTAAAATAATATTGGCCCTTCGCAAAAATTGAATCTGATGTGTGACCAATAAAATGACTTTATCTTTTAAAAATTCTTGAATACATCTATGAGTTGTTGAGAAGCATAATGAAATCACGCAAAAATTAATCGTTAAAATTGAAGCACATTATCTAAAAGTAGTTAGTTACCTTTCGAATATAAGATTGGCAACTTGCGCATCAACAGCACTTAATGGATCATCCAAAAGGTATATATCTGCTTCTCGATAAAGTGCTCTGAAAATTAAAAGAGAAATATTAAGTAATATTAAACGACTTTAAATGAGATAAAAAGTCGTTTACCTTGCTAACGAAACTCTCGCCCTTTGACCTCCACTAAGACCGATTCCTCTTTCTCCAACCAGTGTTGCATCTCCGTAAGGAAAAGTCATTAAGTCTCGATCCAAAGTAGACGCTGCTAAAACTTTTTTGTATCTTTCGGCATTAAAAGGTTGACCAAACAAAATGTTATCCTTGATACTAGCATTGAAGGACCAAATTTCTTGAGATGCGTAAGAAATTGTACCATTAAGAGTAATCTTCCCGCTCTTATTATGAATTTCGTCAAGAATAGCAAGCAACAGAGAAGTTTTACCGCTTCCAGTTGAGCCAACGATAACAGCAAGATCTCCTTGAAGCACTTCCAAGCTGATATTTTCCAAGCAAGCATCATCATCGGTTGGATCCCAAAATGATGTTAATTTGTCAATAAAAAGACAACGAGGTTTCTCAGGATCATCGGCTCTTAATATGTTGTTACCGTTGTTACCACTGCTAAGACTTTCCAAACCAAGTAAAGCCTAATAAAACAAAAAGAAAATTAATTATAAAATTACTTAAAAATTAGTCGAGAAACTATGCTAAAGCTTATACTGACCGATATACGCGCACAGGAGACTCTAGCTTCGAATACAGTAGTTACAGCTTGAGGAAATTGCAGGGTTAATGTTACCCTCAAGGTGTTGAATAAAGCTAAAGTGACAAAAACTATTTCAGCCGTAAGTGAATAGCCACGTAAAACATGAGTTACAAAACAAGCGAATACGATAATACGTGTTGTCACATAAGAAAACGACATGTTAATAGCACGAAGGGTGCAAAACCATTTCACACTTTTCATTTCTTTTCTGTAGCAAAAAGAGAAAAATTAGAGTAAATAATTGAACAGTTTAAAATCATATCGTAATATTTACTCTCTTAATGATTGAACCATATCAGCAAAAGGCTTTTCCCAGGAATACAACTTGATCACTTTGATCCCTGAGAGCACTTCTGTCATTAATCTGATCCGTTCATCGGTAAATGTAGCAGTTCCACGGCGAGTAGATCCAAATGCTGAGCCCATGATTGATTGAAATGGAACAAAAACAACAATTATAGCAAAACCGGCTAAATAAGAGCGTCCAATGTAACCCCAAATAAGAAAGGAGATAATAATTGCCTGAATAGGAGCAGTTATTAGGTAGGGTAGAAACCATGAACACTGTAATGATAATTACACATTAGTAAATTGACTGAAGGCATAAAGCTATCTTTTTTCAGACGAGAGAAAAATAATTTCAGTTTCAAAATATTCTTCGAGTTCAAAGGCCCATTTAAAGGTAAAACCAGCATCTAAACAGGTGATGTAACGGATGAGTTTCACTTTCAAATCTAATCGTTAGATCTTGTTGTTAATTCAGAATTAGAAAGCGCAAGTTGACGAACAGGCTAACAAAGACTTAATTAACAATTAAAGATGACTTGAAATGTTAATAAATAAATGACAATTTATTTGCTCATATTGAAGTTTCCATGAGAAAAAAAGAGGGAAGCGTTGGTAACAACCTGACTGGTAAAAAAGGCGTAATAGGTCATACTTTATCAAGAAGAAGATCTTTTGGAAGACATTTTCTTTTCTTATCAGGTTTTAAACAAAAGAAGAAAAAAGAAATGGATTTAACCGACTTACCTCATCGAATCTTTGCACATCGTTTGACATGAGATTAACAATTTGACCAATCTCATTATTGAGTATTGCTGATTTAGGAAGAGTTACCAATTTTTCAAACATTAACCTTTGAACAGCAACTCGAGCCTTTAAACCATACCGAGCGGCATTGACAAACCATGGATGATGAGTTACAACAAATGAAATTGAACAAAAACAGAAACCAATTGAATAGAAGATGAGTCGATCAGAAGCTCCTTCTTCATCTCGCTTGTAAAAATAATTAATTATGGCACCCATGAAAAAAGGTTGAATGATTCGAATGAAAAAATCCTCATAACCAATGATCAACAGTGAATAGAGTAAATGTTTATACCCAAAGGCTTTCATTAAAGCTCTGACTAGACTTGGATTTTTATTTTTCAATTCCTTGTTCCATTGAATAGAGAGTTGTTCATAAACCTTATCAGCTTCATCATGAACGCTACATCTGAACATGTCATCCAGTTCAAGATCTTGTTTATACCCTTTTTTGAACAGAGACAAAGTCCATCTAAGAAATGAGATAAAAATTTCAACAGTAAGAACAAAAAATAGAAGAGAAAGAATCACATTTACATAATGGAATATGGTTTATCACCAATAAGCAACACAAAACTTACGCAAATGACGTTCGCGACAAGAGATTAGCTCGATCCCAAGGACAGGGTATTTTTACCCGCTCCGTGTTATCCATTTGTCAACCTAAATCACTAATAATGATAAAAAAAACGAAAGCATTTCTTTTCTTTTTCTCAACAATTAACTAAAATCATCGAATCCTTTCTTTCTGGTTACTTCTTTCTCGCTCTCTGTCTCTTTCTTCTCACTCTTTTTTTCTCTTGCTTTTTTTTCTTGTAACTTTTCTCTTTCATGGTGAAAACTCATGGAATCAGATATAGATTATAGATAATGACGAAAAAAATGAAAGATTAATCCATATCACATCAAGGGATATCAGAAGTAACATGAGACGAAATGAAAATTACACTAAACTGAAAGAATCACAAACATTACTTTTTCGATTTACTAGCTGATCAGAATTTTGGTCAACATTTAGATTATAATCAAACGAATGGCGATTTGTCATCAAATTGTCATTAGTTACAATATTTTCGGAAATTTAATAGATTCTGAAAAGTAAAGAGTAAAGCCGTTAATTGTTTAATTGAAAAGAAACAGGTTAAGAACCAGGATTTCTGTCATTACCAAACATTATACATAAATAGTTATAAGTTTAGCCGCCAACAGCAGCAGCTGTCACTCTTCTGCTCTCTCTCACATACCAACTGTGTATTATTGATCAACAAAACAAACCTCACAACTGTTTTTCTGTTACTTTTTTTGTTGCTCCAATTAAAATAATCTTAATTGTCATACCGTGGTTAATTAAATAGATTGAATGATGTTTAAACTGTTACTTAATGTGTCAAGATCAAGTTTGCAACTTTAAATAATAAATCTCTATCTCCATCTTATTTTTTTAAATAATTTTCTCTCTTGTTTTTCATCTTTACTCTTTTGCTCACTGTCAGTTTTTACTGGTTCTGTCCATTATTTGATTGGGTTCTGCGTTCTTCAAGCTTTCATTCATTTTAGGACAAATACTTAGTGATATAATAATGTATGTATATACCTACATAAAGAGAAGAAAGTAAGATAATATACATTTTTAAAGAGGAGAAGAGAGGTAATCTTAACCTTACATCTTATGTGAAAATCACCGTGAAATGGAACCTCTGGAAGATTTGGTTAGAACACGTAACCAACGAAAATTGAAAAGTCTTTGTCGAACGCGACTAACCATTGATTCCCCGATCCGTCAAAATTTGTGGCCAATTCTATGTAGTGCATATAAAGTAGGAGGAAGGAGTGGTGAGCTAGAAGCAATAGAAGCATCTTTACATCCAATTGGAACTAATGAATATCTCCCTGAAGATTGTCCTCGCAAATTACCATCTTTCATTGATCCTAATTACTGTCGATACTTTAAGCTGAGCCCTGATGGACAAAGATTAGTTGAACGTATCTTATGGATTTTAGCGTGTAAGCATAATGAAATTACCATTTGCCCATTACTATACCCTATTGCGGCTCTCTTCCTGCATTATCATGACATCACTCAAACATTAACCTCACTAACTTATTTATTGGGTAAGTTAAAGTATTGATTGTTTTAGTTACAAGTAAAGGCGTTTTAGTTTGATTTGTGATGAAATGCAGTTTGTCTTATTTTTAGTTTAATGTAAATTGCAAGATTGAGCTAGATAGCATAAAAAAGATCTCACCAAGATTCAAACATCGATTCATTTCACAAGCATTTCAAATGTCAATCAAAGTGCTGATTAACAATGAACCTTTGCGATTAAATGTTTATTTATTCAATGAATTAACACTATTTTGCTTTCTTCTTTCATTTTCATGTTGGTTTTCATTGGGATTTGCTATAATCATTGAATTGATGGCCTTTGATAATCTGTCATTAATGCTGTTAACACTACAAATACCGCCCATAAAACACTAACCTCATCATTTTCATTATCAAATTATCTGCAACAATTTCCAACAATATTCAAATCAATCACATGAATTACCTCTAAAAACCAAACAAATGCCAACCTTGTATTGTAACGCCAACTTCATCAAACGTTGATCAATAACATTTACCATGGCTGTTGATAAGAGTAGAAGCACCCTCATCAGGTATTGGTGGTAAAGATGGACCCTATTTACTTCCCCAATCACGAACTCAAATTGTACATCAAGCCTATGTTTTATTAAGATTAACCAATAAATTTGGTTTCCTACCGAGGCGAGGTTTCTTCACTGAACAACGAGAAAGATTAATCAAAGAAAATGAAATGGACGCCTGTTTTCTCGATTGGCTTAAATGGATTTTCATTGGTTTACCATTTGAGCATGTTATCAGAATAATGGATTGCTTCCTGGTTGAAGGTACCAAATTTCTTTACCGTATTGGTTTAACGCTCCTATTATTATACAAAAATTCCAGACCGGTTTCACCGCCCTCTCGTCTTGGTATGGTTACCAATAATGCTTTCAACAATTTCAAATCCTCCACCAACATTAACAATGGTTCCTCCTCCAACTTTACATCAACATCTACAACCACTACAAACACTACATTAACCTCCTCTTCATCTTCTTCGTCACCATTCACCTTGGACCTGATGCTGTCTTTCTGTGAGACAATTAAGTTAACGCCTGATGAGCTAATTACTGTGGCAACCCAGTTACGACGGTTATCTCGTGCTAAAATTGACCGAACCTACAAGGAGGCCTCCCACCGAAATGAAAAATTTAAAATACGCTCGGCTCCTTCATCACCTTATCACCATTTGGGTTATCATGACTTAACCCCGACCTCACCGAGGAAACTTGAAATGATTAGTCTTGATTCAGTTAAAATTACTGATTGTACTCGAATTGCACCCAGATCTCTTAAATCGTCTATATGTGATTGGCAGTTATTGGATATACTCTGGGATTGGATACCTGAAAGAACACTCATCAAAGAGCCGGTCATCATTTTTTGTAGTGATGTTCATGGTAACTCACTGAGTACTTTTTACGATAAGAATGAGGCCGTTGATCAATCAATTTTACTCATAAAAACATTAAACAATGAGGTAAATAGAAATATTGTTAATTGTTGCAACTGATGACGATCATTTTCACCATCAATGCGAAGGTTGTCTTGTCGATAGAGGTAAAGGAAGAAGAAAAAGCGTTGGCAAAGAAAATCTTTTCCATATGAAAACATAGACACATCTTTTTTCCTACTTACCTTTCCATATTGCCAATTAAACTATCGTTTATCAAGAAATCCAATTTCAAAGCCAGAAAAATGATGAATGAATAACTGATGAAGAGAGCCATTGATCACTGAAAAATTGATATGTAATATTAAACTAGTTGATTTATTGTCATAAATAGAAAGAGGATAGAAAAGAGTAATTTGATTTTAACTGACGACGTTAATCAACGTTTTAGGTGTTGATCCTATTTCACTTTGATATTACTTTTTGCATAGCTGAAAGGAAAAGAGCAATCATGTTTACCAAAGTTGATTCAGTTTATTCAGTTGAAACAACAACTATCAAATATCAATTAATTTGACTTTCAATTTTATTCTAATTTATCATTTTGTTGTTTATTTTAGATCTTCGGTGCATTCTGTTCTACCTCATGGTCCGATAGACTTGGAGCTGATAGGAAAGGTGCACAGAAACAATATTTCGGGACCGGGGAAACATTCCTATTCACTTTAAAACCAAAGGTTGCATATTACCCTTGGGTTGGTACCAAAGAATATGGTTCTGACCAAACGAAAAACATTCCTTGTTCATGTCAACTCTTCATGGCTGCTAATTCCAAAATGATAACCATCGGTGCTGGTAACGGAGTTGGCCTTTGGTTGGATGAGAATCTCACCAAGGGTAAAACGGAACAATGTGATACTTTTAATAACAAACCATTATGTACAAGTGGAGATTTTGCATGTTCAATTGTAGAGGTTATTGGCTTTATTTCATCATGGTGATATTATCCTATTGCTATTATTATTATTGCTATTATATTATATTATATTATTTCATTTACATATACATATATACATACATATACATCTACAGTAGCAAATTTACCAAAATTTTATTTTGCCCATTAAAAAGAAAGCGATTAGCCCAACTAACTTTATTACCTGATAGTTGTTTTCAAAATAATAGCTTTCATATTGACAACCAACGTCAATTTTTTCTCTCTTCATTAGTCTCTAGTCTATTTTTATTTCTCTCTCTCACTCTTTCTAACTTTAAACAAAATTAAAATGGACAAATGTTTTGCTATATGTAAATTGTGTTTTCATTTTTGTAGGCTCAGATTAGTTCAAATAGTAAATTGTAATTATAAATTGGTTAAGATTGCCCCTTTTTTGTTTCAAGTGTGATAAAACTCAAATTTCCAAAAGCATGTGAATTGACTGTGTTATTGAATGTTTGTTATAAGTCTATCTTTATTTCATTTTGTTGATCAAACTCAAATTTTATCGATCTATGCGAATTTAAGAAAAATTATTTCCATTTTGAGATGTTTCATTGTTTTATTTTATTGTTCATATTGAGTGATAAATGACAAAGTAGGAAAAAAGTGCTAGAAAATTACTCCTTACCTTTAGATGAACCTGCTAAAGAAATGATTTAAAGACGAAACTCAAAAGCCATGGTTTGGAAAAAAATGTAAATTTCTTTGCCTGCAATTTTTCATTCTAAATGTACCTTTGAAAATATCGAAGCCTGCCATTTAACTATCAAAGCCAATGAATTTGACACCAATTTCCATACAAATTATTGTGCATATTATCAATTAAGTCTCAAGGAATTAAAGATTAGATAACCAGAAATGAAATAATTGATTTGCCATGTCTCCTAATGAATTGAATGGGAAAAGAAACAATATAAATGTTAAGAAAAAGAACAAGTTGAAAGTCGATTTTATATCTTCTTTATCAATGTTAAACTTGGAACAAAAGAAAAATGGCTTATCCAAGTTGACGCAAAAGGTCAAGAAAGTCAAACGATTAGCCATTTCTTTTATCAATGTTTACCAATTGACAAGCTGTATATATCGATAAATAAACTTACTCACAATCAGATAGGATAATAAATTGGTGTCAAATGTATTCTTTGACTCGTTTAGTACATTCTTGAAATCACCTGAAATTGATCTTCTTTCCCGCTTATTGTAATCAAGTAGCAAGAGTAAAAAAAGAAAACAAAAAATGTTCATTCAAAATATACTTACATTGAGTTGCTTTATCTTTTACACAGAGTTTATTATTCCCAATAAAGATAATTGATTCACACAATTAACCGACACAGCGAAAAACAAAAACTTGAATCACAATTATTTCAATTATGTAATTCAATGTTACAATAAAAGTAAATAACTTTCCATTGTAATGACTCAAGGTTGCTCATTTTTACCAATTTCAATAAAACCGCTATCTTGTCGGTTGTTGAACCAAAAAGTCTATCACCATAACAACGGTAGTCAAGAGCAACATCAACGCGGTTACCAAAACAAGAGAAGAAAAAAGTTGACCAAACTTGCATAATCTGGTTATCGAGACTTTTTTAATGTCTTTTTCATTTTCTTATCCAATTTCAAGTTCAATTAATTAAACTTTTATTTTGTTTTAACGACTAATTGTTGATAAATTAAAGATATTTAAGTGTACCATTGCTCAGTTAATCAATTGTTACCAGCGTTTGCGTTGTTGTACAATCCAATGTAACTTTCAATGCGCAATGTTTTAGAGACAAAAGTAGCTCCTTTTCAATCTCACAGTAAGTTTGGAAACAGCTTCCACTTTATTAACAGTTTTGATACTTTTCTTCATGTAACCATATTCATCATTTTTTTTGATAAAATAATCCAAATAATCCATGTGAAAGTTGGACAATTTTTCACCTTTAAACCGATCCTCAACTTGACCATTAAATCTCAAAGTTTGGTTTCCATCTTTACCCAATTCTTTCCATCATATTTGGTTATTTTGTTTTTTCGTCAACAACTTCTGTCAATAGTATTTACTATCAAAGTATTTATAGCAACAACATGGTTTAAACATTTTTTGCTCATCAAGTGAAACAAGGAAAACCGTTACAGAGAATAACAAAAGAAGAACATTTTTAGTTCTAAAAATAAAGCAAAAAAACTAGGTTTTTCTTGATTCTACTTTTCATGTTCATGTGTTTTAATGTCACCAGGATTGCGATTGATTTAAAAGTTTGACCAAAAATGTACCAATTGCCTCATCAACACCAACAACATCACATTACATTTGACAATGATGGAAGTATTCCAGTCTTTTATCGATACCAATATGATAGTGACTACAATGCGATAATCAACAGTAAATGTGTTTCCACAAGCTCAACCGATGGACCAGTGAAACAAGATGCAACCGATGATAATCCAGTCAAAGAGGATTCCCTATCATTTACCTATCCTCTAATCTCATTCCTATTCTCTCTCCTTAACATTACCATTAATACAACTCTAGTCTATTTATTTTACACCGAAAATCAACAAGCATGGTTCATATTGACCCTCTCTCTACTTGTAATACCCTTTCTAATGGTCAATATTTTTAGCATCAAATGGTGAGTAAACATTTCGTTGCATTCAAACCCAAACTCAAGTCAACCCGACAATTTCATTATCAACCAATAAATCAATAGTGACTATAGACAGATCGTTTTTTGTCTCATTATAACCAGAAAATTGCTCTTGATTTTCATCTTTAGAAAACCTTTTTTTAGCAAACAATTTTTTCCGATTCCAAACTAAAGGGTGAAACATTGAACAGCAAATGAAAAACAAAGGATTGCGTGATAATTCAACATTATCTGTAACTAAACACTCACAGGGAGTAGAAAAGAAACAACAACTGTAGCAAAAAATAACCCAAAGTACAAATATAATATCGAAAAAGGAAGAGTAAAAAGTATCATTTCAGTTTCATTTTCATTTCTTTTGAAAAAAAATCCTTTTCCTTGCATGTGAATTCAAAGGCAAATTATTTAATATAATAACAATTTCACAACAAAAGTTGAATGAAAATAAAAACAAAAAGGAAAAATAAAAAGCAAACCAACAGGGAATGAAACATTGAGAATAACTTGAGAATGAATTTGTTGCTGGTTTTGTTTTTTATTATATTTTGCATGTATTGTCATTTCCTTTTTTCCCGATAATATTTCTGAACAATCCAGCAAACCTGAAATAATCATTGATTCATTGAAAATGCAGCAGCAAGAAAAAAAGGAAACTTTGTAACCATTTAAGAAACAATTTCCAATGAAAATGATACTTACATGGTTAGAGGAAAGTTTAAAGCAATAACAATAATAACATTTTCTCACAAATTATCATCATCATCATCATGTATACATAACATGATACTAATAAGTTATGACTTGTGTTTCATGTTATTCAATTTCCATCTCAATGTTACCATCAATTTGTACCATTTTCATCTTCCATTTCATTTAGCTTGCGCTCACCTAATCTTTACTTTTTTTTGAAACATTTTCTTCCATTTTTGTCATCATCATCATTTATTGCTCTTGAAGATTCTGTAAAATCCGGAAAATGAATTGATAGATCGCTTGTCCTTCGGAACTGACTCCGGATGTCCTTATTACATCGACATGAATCCACAAGAAAATGACATCTCTTAAAGTCTCATCTTCATCTTCATCTTTTCCCATCTTTTTTGCATTCAAATGTCAATATGAAAAAGTGTCTCTCAAGTTGCTCTTCGTCTTTTCCTCGATATTTTTCCTTCTCAAATCAGATGACATGATAAGTGAAAGATGAATTGCAGAGAAGACAAAATTCCAGAATAATTTCATTCAAACGTATCAATGAGCAACTTTTCTTGATCAGTATTTCACCATTAAACCCACAAATCCAATTAATGACAACATTAACTCAAGATGATTCAATTTTCATTTCTAATCTCATTTAACCATCAATTTACCCATGAAAATGTTAACCATAACAATCTTAGCCATTCAGATCAATGTTAACCAAAAATAATGTAATAATTGAATAATGCAAAAAAGAGAGAGAAAAGTTCTGCAAGAAAATTTCATGTCAACACTTTGAAAACCCAAATGAACATGAAAAGGTGTTGCATTAGCTAATTAGTTGATTCCAATTTTATCATCTAAAATGTTTACTCCAAATTTATTACTCTAGAGAAGACGAGAAAAAAAAGAGAAGAAAAAATGCAAACATTTTCTCCATCAAAGTTCATAAGGACTGAAGAGAGAAGAAAAAATGATTCTGTTTCTTTCGCCTTTCCTCACCACATTTACCTCCATTAACATGATCATACTGTGCAATATCAGTTGTTTGCTTCACAACTAATTATGAATCAAAAATGCTTTAATGTGACAGGATAAGTTGGAGAGAAACTATCATTACTCATGGAAAGCAGAACCAGAATAAATCCCATGAAGAAAAAAAGTTGTTGTTTAAACCATTTTGTGCAAGTTTTTTTTCTGCTTCTTGGAAAAGCAAAGTTTACAAGAAAAATGATTTACATGAAATTCATGAAATGTCAATTTAATGAAAGCTGTGGTTGAGCTTTTTGTGCTTTTCTTCATCAACAGATAATGAGTTAACACAGGCTCTTCAGTTAATGAACAGGCAAATTTCACGAGTCAGGAAAAAAGGGTGAAAAAAGGTTTATCTTGAATCAAATTTTGACGTGAATCGTTAATCTTTAAATTTCACTCTAAACTCAACTTTATTTCACTCTTGAATAACAATATCGAAATCTCATCTTGATTATTCCATAAGTTAATCTTAAACTGTGATCATTCTGATTAATCACAATTTCCATCTCATGTTAATCTCATTAATATCGAGGAAAAATATTGAGAGGCAATTTTTTATTCCCAAAACTCATAACTCATTCCATCCCATGTTTATAAAATTTCATGAATAGAATTTATTTTTAAATTTTTTCTTTTTGTCCCTCATTCTTGTCCCAATTCATGATGATGAAGATGAATTTGCATGTTAAGCTTGAAAGGCGGGAAGATGAAGAATGCAAAAAAAGATCGTTTATCAGTTGAATCACGAGTGAAAAAAAGAGTTTCACTAAATTGTAATGAAAAGCAAAAAAAGAGTTACTAATAGTTGAGATAATAAAATAATAGGAGTTAACTGGGAGTGAATTTTATGATAATTATTAGTGTTACTAAAGTATAAGAATAGTTAAGAATAAGTAAAACTAAGTTATAATAATATTACAAATGATATGAATAATGTGAAATCAAGTTTGATCAGAAGAACTTTTTTTCACTCAATTTTCATGGTGTTTCACCAAGATTATTCAAGATTGATTACTAAACTTTATCTCATTCTTTTGTTTCTCATCATTATTACCATGATGATGATCATTATTGTTTCTTATTATCATTGTTCAATCAATTATCTTGAATAGTAAAAAGTGTTTAGAATAAACTTTTTTTCGAATTTTTTTTGGATCAATTTCAATGTTTGGGTAACTTAATGCTCAATGTTTGTCCATCTTAATCTTATCCATTTGTTTCCCTTTCCAGGTACATTCAAGATTATCGTACAACTGAACCTTGTGCACCTCGTCGACCCAAATTAACTCTATTCCAATGGATTCTGAAAATATTTGCTCATCTTTTGCTGATTGGACATCTTTTCAGGTAAAAAGAGTTTAACGATTTTTTTTCTTCTTCTTTCATAATCTTATTTTTGTACAACCAGAAAAGTCTTCATATTTCACTGATTTTTACCAGAAAAAATGGCATTTAATAGAAGCAGGAAAATTCCAATCATGATGATGTTAATGAACAAGAAAATGGTCAAATACTGAAAATTAGTTATCTTTCGATCATCAGCCAAATGATGATAATGATGTATTATTTTTCCTGTTTTTTGTTTCATTCCCTGGCAAAACACACAAAATAATTGATAATCATTTTGAGTTCATCGTTTTTTTCCTCTTTTTTTCTTCATGGTTTACCTTTTCAGTGTGACTTGTATATTAATGAGTTCAACAATTACTGAATGAACAGAGGCAATGAGTTTATCGGGAAAATATTGATTCAAATATAGCAGAAAAGCCAAATTTCCTTCAGATTCAATCAAAGTATTGAAATATTTTTGTCAAGAAAATGATCAACTTTGATTGAAATGAAAATGATTGAGTTGCAAAATTGCCTTTACTCTTTGATTTTCATCAATAGCAACCATGGAAATTACATGTAACCATTCAACTTAAATTGATTTGGTAAAGTCGATGGATTGTCTCATTTTATCTCGACTGGTAATGATTAACTTTTAATTAGCTTCTTTACCATTTCAAGTTTGATTAAAATACAAGAGTCGGTTTAATGGACTGCAAGTGTTGAGAGTTAAATAATGGCTTAATAACAATGAGAGGGAAATGATGAAAGGAAAAAGATGATTAAAGATGAACAAGGAATCATGCATTTAAATCTATTTTGGTGTGAATCAGTTTGATGAGGAAAAGATTGAACTCTATGTAATCTTTATCTTCATCTTTTTTTTCATCTTTTTGCTTATTTTTGCACAATTAGAAGGAGAGAGAGAGAAAAAGTTTAACTAAAAAGATGAGATAAGCTGCATAAACTTCTTGATACATGATGAAAGTTCACCAACCTATTTCTTCTTATTAACCTTAATATAATCTCTATGCTCACCATTATCTTGCTCTTCATCCTTCTCTTCCTTTTCTCCTTTTCTTCGTGACTTTGGCTTCTTTTCATCCCTGTTTAATGGTCCAGTTATCATTGAGTTCGGTGTAAATATTTAACAGTTAAATGTATCCTTACCACGCGTCTCTTTGTGTGTAAACAATTGAAGGTGATGATGATGGTTATGATGAGGGAAAGAGTTGAAAAGTTTTCACAGCAAATCATCATTTGAAGCAAATGAAATGAACAGACTTGAAGTTGCTTACTGAAATGAGGCGACAAGTTTACTCTTGACTTTAAATCAATTTTTCCTCTCAAATTCCAATCGTCTATTGATGGTAAAGAAAAGGATATTTTTGTATTTTATCAGCCTTTTAAGTTGACTTTTGAAGAGCAAATCTAATGTTGCTTTATGAATCCAATGAATATTTATTTCGTCTCATCATTGACTTTTTTTCCGGAATTGTTCAGACTTTTTCACTGATTAACTCTTCAACCTGCATAATTCTGATTAGATTCTGTTTTTATTGCTGGTACTTTGTTTATCCTAATCTCCATGCATTGGAATGTATGGTGAAAAAAACTCAAGTTCACAGTTAGACTTTTGATGGTCATTAGAAGCTTTTTTCATCATTGATTTTGTTAGTCAAATTTGCTCGATTTCAAGGGAATCTTTGCATTCATTATCAAAACAGCTGTAGTTTTGAAGGTGATGCTAAGGAATGAAACAGTTACCTGGTAATCAAATTTAATTAGATGGATTAGAGTTTTGCTCAACCATTGGATGCAAAAACAACGAATTGATCTAATCAATGGTGGAAACACAAATTCTGTCATGAATATTCATTATATTGTCCATGCAAGTAAATTTAATCTAGATTCATGTCTTGACTCCAATCCAATTGAATCCTTATTTGACCCATTTCTCATTGGTGCTGGAATACACTCTGTTATCTCAATAAAATGGAAGAAAATTTTTTCCAAAATTTTTCTTGAGTTAACGATAAATATCAAAACTTTAACAGCAAATTCACTCACTAAAAGTGTTGTTACGTTTATGATCTACCAGCATGAACTAATCCAAGTTCAGCAATGAAACTAACATAAAGCTAACCGTTTCAGGCATAACTATCGAACAGTTTTACGCGGAAACTTTAAGGTCATATCTTAATAATCGAGTTTTGAAGAGTATTAATGTGAATAAACAAACGCGCATGAGATCAATGACAATGGCTTTAACCCCTTTCAGGAATTATCCGCTCTAATTTTCATCTTTTTCAAGATTTTCTTTCGTAAAAAGTAAAACATGAATAATTTTACCAATTTTGTTTATTAATTTTTAATATCAATGTTTAATGAACATTTTTTGAATTTATCACAATCGAGTCAATCATATTTCAAAAGTATAAATAACTACAGTAAAGTACCAGATAATGTCAGTAATGTCTACACAGCAAGTGCTATTCATTGAGCAAAAAACGTTTGGTTAATCGAAATAACTGACAAAATCTAAATCAATTGTCAGAAAAGCTTGCCGATCAACATTATCAAGCTCAAGATTATCAATTGAGCTGAAATTTGGCAAAATTTACAATTTTCTTAATATCCTGATAGTTTCAACCAAAACTTTCTTTACACGAGATGTAAACGAGAGGTTGAGAAGCCATTGATTACTGATATTATCTGGTACTTTACTGTATTAAATTCGTAAATAAAAAAAATTGTTTTATACCATTGGATAACTTCAACACTGTTCAAAACATAAACACTTTTTCACACTGACAAGGAGTCATCCACGCTCTTATGTTTGCACATCTACCTGGCTGTCAGCTGTCAACAAGTAAGCGGCCCATGGACCCACTGCTCCTATTGGAGGAGGAGGCTGAACCACCACTATAGCTCTTCCTGATGCTGCACCAAATCCATAGAGGGTCAGAATAGCCACAAGATAAAACACTTTGAAAAGATTGAAATTCATTTTGAGTTGATACTTGATATGTTGAATGGATGAAGGTAACACACAAATTTAGTTTATTGTAATGATGATTTTGAGGAAAATTTTCATTCTTTAATAAAGTAAAATGACAATCCTGAGCAAATAAGGAGCCTCAAATGAGGCGCTTATCTGTTCCAACGAGGCTTTTTATTTTTGTTGACGAAAACCATAAAGAGCTGTTCAAACTTTTTAATTCCTAACCTAAAGCTCTAATTCATGCATATGCTTACGTAAATTGACTGAACTTTTTGTATTAATTTATTCTGAATTCATCCAGCTGCTGCAAACAAATAATTAACAATTTATTTTTGATGAATGACCTGATTAGTTGTTGTCAATATTGGCAATTATTTATTTTAAGGGCAACATCGGTCTTTGACTTTTGTTTTTGTCTCTTGACTCTCAAAGCTTTAAACTTTAACATTCAAGTTTCAGCATTTGAATTCATGTTTTTTGAAATTGAAAGTCCAAGTGAAATGCGATGAAATTCATCAATTTCAATATATTCTTTTCGATCTAGATCAGTTTCTTGAATTGAAAATATATGAAATTAATCCATGAGTTTCTCTTGAAGGTTTCTTTATCAAACGCGGTTACATCAATCAATCCTATCGAAATGCTTGTTGAATTTTTCAATGAATAAATGGTGAAGTTTCTTCGTTTGAATCCAAGTTTCAAGATTATTGGATCATGATTGGGTATTTTTGTTCAACTTGTTGGACCAAATTTGTAAATTGAAAGTCGAGTTGCAATTTTGAATGCAAAAACATGTAAGGTTATCATCAGTTGAGCTCTTAGAGATGAATCCATTTCAATTTCAGTCTAATTTGTGCCTTTGAGTCATATTCATCATTATCGACTCATTGTTATCATTATTTTCCTGTGCATCTCTACTCTTTTTGCATATGAAGAGAATCAAATTTCTAAAGATAAATGCTTTCAATCTGTGAATTTTGTTTTTGTTCAGTTTTTCTTTTTTTGCTTTTCTTTCTTTTTTTTCTATTATGTTTACGAATTTTCACATCTTCAAAATGAAATGGCAAGATCAAGATAAAGTTGAGAAATGTTAATAGAAATGAATGGGAAGAATAGGGTGAACAAAAGATGCAAGAAAAGTAACAGTATCTTCGAACTGACAAAAAGTTTGTTCATAAGCTGTTTTATCTTGTTTACTGATGAGATTGAATTTGAATTTCACTTTTTCCTCCTTCAAAGTCAACTTAAGAATACACTTTGATTCCCTAAATATTCATGGATTTATGTTTGGTGAATGAAAGAGTAAAACGTAATGCACGCGAATACAGTGAATCGATCATCTTGTTACAGGATAAATCAACCAAAAGTAAAAGGCAAACGGACAAAATTTATTGTTTTTCAAACAATCTCACTTCAAAAACGAAGGAAAATTTCCATCCGATCCTGCTATCGAATTGCTAATTGATAAAAATATGAACAAACTCTCATCAAACAGATAAGTCGTTACATGAAAATTCATCTTATGCATTTTCGAGTGAAATGGCGAAACTGAAACAACATTTCATAGCCAGGAAATAACTTTGAAAATTCAAGTTCCTTTTGAGATGCTGAAGCAAAATGAACAAGCGAAATTTATTTAATAAAACGATGCTTGTTTGATGTTAAGATTGTAATAACAGTCTGTAAGATAATCGTTCCCTTATGTAGACGATCCCAGCATCCTGAATAAATAAGCAGCTCTTGTTGATACGAAATTTTGACAAAACATTTGCATCTTCTTTTATTTATTTTCAGTTAAGTTTTAAGTTGAAATGACTATAAGTAAATCACTTTTTGTATTAACTAGCTCTTGAATTTATTCAGTTGATAAAAAAGTAATTGACCATAAATTTCGATGAACTCGAGATGATAATTACCTGTTCCATTGAGCCATTGTTCAAGTTTCATGGAAACATTACAATTTTCATCAATCAATTTCAACACAAAATTTGCATGTTTATCAATTTTCTTTAAT